ACTAATGCTCGACCTCAGCTGGGCTTGTCATGTTTGTTTTTCAATTTGCCTTCCCAGTGTTTCTGTACATTTCCAAAGTGTTCCAATGAGGTGAGTGAGCTGTTCCTGGACATGCTGGGCTGAAAAGGTGGCTTTCAGCCCCAGGTGATTTACCTTCCTGATACCTCTGTCTAAGAAATGCAGAGTGAGCTTTGTTTCTCCATGATCACAAAGTAAATTTTCGCTTTCCGAGGTGTGGCCAAGTGTAGTATTAAGAGCAAGGCAATGGTGGGTTTCATGTGCTGTGTTACGTGCTGGTTTTGGCAGAAACAGTGGGCTCGGTTATTATTTTGCTATGTACAGTGCACCATAACCTAACAGCATTTTTTGGCATTGACTAGTTAAAACTGCTCTGTATTTAGAAAGCTTTAATAAATCCTGTTTATTTTTTGTGCAATTTAAGTGCAGTCCAATTATTTTGCAGCCAGTCCTTGGAGCACAGAGTTATAAATCTCACATCAGTTCAATCTGATATTTTCTGTTTGGGAAGCAGGGAATGTTTGAGCTTGCTAACAAAAGTCTGAAAAATCTTAATGAGGCATTTTTAATACGAAAAATTTGAGCATAATAAAGAACATATGCTCTTCTTTTTTCTTTGATGTACCCTGTTACCTTTCTTAGTATTATTATTGATGGAAATACAGATTTCATAGTTCAGGTGGGAAGCTGCGTCAGCATGCGTAGGCTGCAAAGGAACAAGTAATAGGTTTATTCCATTCTGAAAAGAGAAGAAAGAAAACACAAAGTTTCGGCCGTGGGGCCTTCTTCAGGTGTCAGGTGTCACCTTGTGTTTTCTTTCTTCTTTTTTTCAGCATGGAATAAACCTATTACTTATACAGATTTCATTCTGATAAACCTTTAGGTACTTAAGATCAGCCATCTTTTCAGTTGTCTTATGACTGATCCCCCCCAGTCATGGCTGCCTTTCATATGTGCATCATGCAAACACACCTCAGAAGACATGTAATGGGGAGACATTCCTGCAAACACTTAAAATGAAGCAAAGTGCACAAGAGAACAAGCTCTGCTTCAAAATCCCCGGGTCTGTCGTCACTCAAGATCATGTTTAGGGAAGAGGGGTCACATTTTTGAAAAACCTACCTGTGCGACTCCTCAGGATTTGGTGTGGGGGGGAAGTATTTTTTTTTCTCCATTTCACCCACTTGGAAGTGGTGCCATAGAGGCAATTTCAAAGACCTGTGTGTTTAACAAGTGAGACCCAGAACTCGCTGGCAGAATTTCAGAGAACGTGAGAGGTGCATGAAGACACCGAGGGCACAAGAAGAATCAGTTGCAGCAAAATGACCTTAAGTGTTCCTGGAAGTAATGTGGAGAAACGGGTCCTCTTTGGACGCCAAAGTGCAATTTGACTGTAGCTGCACCATGTCTACCTTTTTCACTAGTGAGATGCATCCTTGTTGGACCTCTATTGCAGATGAATTTCATAAGAAGCACTAGGATCTGCTTATATCATAGGAGACTGGCTTTTTCTTCCATTTATTTTTCTGGGGCATATCCTACATACATATCTTTTTGGAGTGTTTGGTTTTTTTTTAAGACCCTAAAACTATTATGCAAGGGAGTATTATTATTTTTTTTAGATGTTCTCATGACCCCTTCATTATTCTTCATGTGTGATTATTCCCCACAAATCTGCCTCTACACCAGCAAATTCCAACAG